GCACTTCGCGAGTCCGCCCTTCTGTTGTGTGGGAATTTGCCCCACAGCTGTGAGAAACAGGTCGAGACACTATTCTAGACCCGTTTTTATTTGGCAGGCTTTATTTGGCACCCAGTTCTTCTTGGTTTGTTTCAGGTTTCTTGTGCTAGATAGCACAGACTGGTATATCTACCCGGTGTTTTGATGTGCCTTACAAATGTGGTGAACAAGGGTCTGTTCAAGAGGTTCTTCGTCTTCCGGAGCTGGTCCACTTCCACGAGGCGAAGGAGGGTGTATGATTCAGGTTCTTTTCCCAGTAGTTTGAGTTACCATTCGAGCAGGTAACCAGAGGTACCAAAAAATGTGAAGAGGACAACGGACTGACCTATGTCGAAACGGCAGGAAGCACCGGTGGTCTTTCTTTCTCAAGATGGGACCCTAAACATCCGCCCCACCCCACCCCGGCGGGCCCATCCCCAGGACGGCCTGGCCGGCCGCGACGCGGAGCACTTGGAGCGGCTCAAGGCGTGGCTCACCGAGGCGCGGATCCGCGCGGCGCCGAATTCTGACGGACCCTCCCCTGGCGTTTTGGGGGGTGGGGGGTGGTTTCAAAGGGCTTGCCAAAAGGAGAAAACTATCGACTTCACTACTATTTTTTGAAGGGGGCTTAAGCAAATGGAAGGTTTGCCAAAAGTAAACCGTCGGATTGTTCGGCGGTTTGACTTTTCAGAGGCACTTCGCCCTTTTTGGAAGATATCGGAGTCAAAGGGAAGACCGTCGCGTGAAATTGGGGGTCTAGAAAGAGGCACCGCCCGTTTCTCCTCGGAAGGGACTTGAGAGTGAGCGTTTCGGAGGCCAAGCTGGCAGTGGGATTTGGGATGATTTGGGCGCTCACCTGTCTCCACCCTTGAAGCTTTTCTGGGGTTTGGCCCGACCAACCTTCGCACATCCCAGGCTTCCCAAAATGTTCCATGTCCTCTTCGGGGGGGGGGGGGGGGAAAAACACATAAATACATATTTTGTCCGGGGGAGGAGGGGGGGTCATCAGATATAAGGGGCGAGAAAATTGCGCGCATCGCTCCAATTACGTGGGCCCTACCCAAGAATTGAGGCCTTCAGGATGAGAGCATGGCAAGAGCTCCAGAAAGCGCCGCCAGTGCCATCCTATGACACATACAGTTGGCATATTAGTTTTTCTTGGTGTGGTTCTTTCTTTGTTTGCGGCGTTTCACTGGAAAGCAAAAGAAGCTCCCGCCATTTTGGGTCTGCTAGAAAAAAACAAGAAAGCAAAAAGAAAAGCGACCAGGCCATTTGTCCAGCGCGTCCAAGCTGTTTCAAGAGATGTCTTGAGCGCTGAGGCGCTGACGTTGCTGGAGGCGGACCTCCGCACACTGCGCACGGTGCTGCAGACCTGGCGCCCCCCCTCCGCCACGGAGAGCCGCTTCTACTCGCACGAGGCAGACGGCCGCCCCTCGGCGAGCGGATCGATCGCGGGGATCGCTGAAATCCGTTGCCACACGGAACGTCTCCTGCACACGGAACGTCTCTATTCATTAAAAATGTTTTATTAAAAAAAAAGGTACAATACCACCAAACTTAGAAACAACAATCAAGAATAACAAAACTCTTCTGGCAGATTGATTTATGTGAAGCTTTGAGCTCTACGGCGTTTTCTTTCCCACTTTGCTCAGCTGCAAAACCTTTTTTTGTCTGATGCTAATTGGGTTCGGGACCCAGCCCCAAAGCAACCGGCGTGTGCGTTTGTGTTTTTGTTTGATGGCATTTTCTGGGAAGTTGTGCATTGTCGATGCACACCAAAGGAGCACAGGGAACCGCAGCCCCCCCATGTTCATTGCATCAAGCCCTTGTTGCTGTCCTTAATGTTACCCTCCCTCCAACAATCACGTAAGTGGACAATCGTGGGCTTTCCCCACAAGGAACATATTCCAAAACCCTCCGATCGTCAGCTTCCATGATTCAGATTTTTGGTGGTTGGGATTGGTGGTTTGGGGATTTGAACAGGTCCCTGGCTTTAGAGGGATGGGAAACCCCTCTGGAAGACCAAACCACGGGGCTCTGGGGGTCGGCTCCGGCTCCAAAGTCGCATGTGCAGGGTGAACGCCTGGCTTCGGAGGGCAAAGGGGGGACATCTCCTCAACCACCACTGATTCGGCTCCAAACCACCCCAAGCCGAGGGAAGCTTTTCCCCACAGGAAACTTCAGCAATGATGGACAATTCAGGGTGGAAGAGTGATCTCTAGGTCCCCCAGTAGTGTGCTTTTACCCTTTTTCGGGGAGGGTCCCGAAAAAAATCGGGTACCAACTTATTCCCCCCTCTCAAATCTGGAGGGCTTAGAATTTTGGTTTCCTTGACTTCCACCTTTTCGGGGTTTCACGCGTCGCCCACAGACGCCGCGCCTAGGCTTCAGCACCATGGAGGCCTTGCGCCGGGATACCTTCGAGGAGCGGAGAGCGAAAGTTTTCCGGGCCGGTGTCCAGGTGCATGCAATGTTAGGGGAACCTACGAAAAGGGTAGGCTAATGTTAGTTCCCTTTTTAATGCCAATCCGAAAAAGGGTCTCAGTATAGTATATATATATATATTTTATGCTATATACAAAAATATGATAGGTAGGGCATGGATTGTGCTGGTACTCCCAGCACTTGATGGTCTCGGGTAACATCCTCAAAATGACAATTCAGACAAATACAGAACCCCCCCCCCCGCCGGAAAACAGCAAGTTTTGCTTTATGCATCCAGAAGCCTCGCTTTTTGGAGGTATCCTTTTCAAGCTGGTTTCAAAGGGAAACAAGGAACCCCTCGCATTTTCGGGGTGCAGATCCCTATTGCACCACATACCCTTTGATTTTCTCAGGGCCTAAAGGGCTTTCACTTGAGGGACACACTTGAGGGAAACCCTTTGTTAGGTTGCAGTGAGGAGTGAGTGGGCCCCAGGACCGCTTGCGAGTTATTTTCCAACAGATTAAGTGAGTCTTCTGATCTGTCATTGAATCGTCCTTTCTCTCAACAAAAACACAAACACATATTATGTGCGTTGAACTTGATTGAGTTTCCCTGCAAAAGTAGGGTGCTGGTTGTCACTTTCGCTCACTCTGAAACTTGTGCACGTGTCTGTTTTAGGGTACCCCCTCCCCCCAAACTGGTGGTTTTCCTGCTGGTTCCCACTAAAACCCGCCAAGAAGAAACGGAGAACCAACTCCAACAAACCGCCCAAGACCCCAACAGCAACGGGTTGGAACCAGGCCGACCCCCCAAAAAAAATGCCGACCAATGACCAAGGCCCAGCCCAACAACCCGCCCACCAACCCGCTCGACTCCAGGAGTACCAGCTGGACAAAGGCCTCCTGCAGGGCCTCCTGAAGCTCTTGCCCCGCGACGCCTCGGTGGCGGACTTCGGCGCCGGCGCCGGGCAGTACGCCAAGTGGCTCAACGACACAGGCGCGAGAGCGGAGCGGAGCGCTAGGGGGGGGGGGGGTCGGGCGGAGAGCGAGCGAGTGGGTGGCCAAACGCCTTCAACTGTTGGCGGCCCAACCCTTTTGCGCCCTAGGTGTCAAACTCCCCAAACCCCCCCAACCACCCAACACGCCCCAAAACCCCCCAAAACCCCCCAAAACCCCCCAAATCAATAATGACCTTCAAGTTTTGGGTGAAGTCTTTCAAACCAATCCACAAAATGGGTTCCCTCAATGGCTTGGACAGGATCCCCCTCCCAATTCATGGGATTGCAATTCCCTTCATCCCCTTCCCAAACCCGAACGCGATTTTATCGGGAAACCAAGGAACACTTCTTGAGTAAGACCGAGAAAGCAGTCATGGGAATCACACACTTTGGTATCACAGAATAGGTTGTTGTTGTTTTTTTCCCACCATGCGCTGCCTTGCCTGTTAACTTTACACTTTTCCCTGGCAAGGGTTCATCATGTCGCCTTTTTAACTACCTGACCAAAAAACATTTGGATAACTTGAGAACCCTGGAAAATGGATGAAAAACCGGCAAAAGCAACAGAACCTGGAGATCGTCTATGAAAGGATGCATCAGGATGGATGGACGAAATCCTGCACCAACTGGAAACTATGTGAAACCTTTGGTATGTACAGGGCAATCATTCCAGGAATTGTTAGCTCATGCGAAATGGATTTTGCAACCACCCACAGTATGAACACTGACCACCAATTTCGACAGGTGACAATGGATCTTGTAAGTTACATGTGCTGAAATGAATGTTGTTTCTCCCCCCTGGTTGTTTAAAGGGACTCAAATTCACTGTTTCTTTTTTTCATGGCGCCTGGAACGCCAATGGAAGGTCAAGTCAGAGGTTCGGTCCCTCCATTTCCCTTTGTGGACCTGCAAAAGTGGGGTGTTTGTTTTTGAACCCCAGCAGTCAAACGCGGCAATGGCGTCGATTCGAAGTGGAAGGCTTGGTGTCGGCCACAGCCTTCGACGGATCTCCAGACATCCACCTGGTCACCCGGGGTGTGGTGAACCTCGCGGATCTCGGCACCTCGGAGCAGCCAGCTGGCGAGTGGACCAAAGGTAAACCTTCCCGGTGCCTTGCAGCACGTGGGTTTGGGGATTTTGGATTTGGATTTGAAGCCCAGGTCAATGGGAACCCCGGAAGACCACCAAACCGGGCTACAAACCACCAATAAGTGCGTGTGTCTGTGGATTTGCCCTTCCACCAAGTAGCACAGGGGATCCCTTTAAAAGGACACCGGGACCCCCCGAATGTCAGGTTTGGGAAGAGCGTGCTTTTTTGCTAGCCAGCGCGTGTGAACTAGGCAGATCCGACAGGCACTGGATAGTCCTCGTGGTCCTTTTGCTTGGAGCCTCGTGAAGATTATGGGATGGAGCAACCATTCGAAGATCCTTTTGCCTGTCAAAGACCAGGTTGTCTTTGCGTTTAAGCAGATCTGACAGGCACTTGTGAGCGCCGACTGGTAGTTTACATAGTCAGACATCCAGCAGCTCCATAAGCGAAGCTTTTGCGACGATGGGGTGAGTGTGGCGGGTTCTTCCTTTGGCGAGCAACTGTTTTGTTTGAGCCTGCCTGACACCTGAACATCCCTCAACTAGGAAATGCTGGCTTCTTTCAATGACACCGTCATGAGTGGACATGTGGTGAATCAGGTGGGTCCACGGCTGCTTCAAGCCCCCTCCCTCAACAACTGGGATTATCTACCAACATGAAGTGAGTCATGACCTGATTTGAATCATCTCGGAGACTCCAGGTAGAGCAGATGTTCTGTGTGTGGCGATTGCAGTTTTTTTTTTTGGGCGAACGTTGGCTCAGGCAAACCGCTGCAACTCTGGCGGAGGCAAGATTCCGCTTGCGCGTTTTGGCTGCCTTCTTCAGAGGGAGTGTATCAACAACTCCAGTACAACACACCTTTGAGCAACATGTTGGGCATATTGAGCGAACAGATGCACATACCACACTGAGCAAAACATGTTGAAGATATCTAGCGAATTCACGGACATGCATGCTTGTGAGAAAGAATGTGTGCCTTGTTTGCCAGAAGTATCTACATAATGGAGGCCTGCTCGTGAAAATATGCCAAAGCCCTTCCACAAAGAGGCATTAGACTGCGCCATGCGATCAATGAAGAACACAACTTGAGCTGTTGCTCCCTCAAGAAGAGCAGCTCCAAAAAGGGGCAACTTTGGCGCCCCCTTGAAATGGACAGCAACGGACCATGTGTCCGGGGTGTCCGTTTTGACTGTCCGGGATCAGATTGTCAGATTGGGGGGGGGGGGGGTATCGGCGTTGTCCCTGGTCAACCTCTTGTCTTAATGTCCGGCATTGGTACAACGTTGAGATTTGTTTTGGGAGTGGACTGATTCGAGGGATGCGACACTGAATGTTTGTTCGTAACATGGCTGAAGGATCCCAAAAATGGAGCTATGGCTAAAGGACCTTGCACATCAGCAGTGGTATGGAGAGCTGAAGACCCGCGAATGATGTTACCTGGCATGGTGTGGTAGTATTGGTTTTGTCCTGGTTTAGTTGACTGGCGTATGTATTATTTTGGTAGTCTAGGATTATTTTAGTATAGGCGAATTCTGGATGAGTGTTGAGGGCTTGGGGATGCGAAAGAACACACGGAAAACGAAAAAGCAATGTTCATCAGAGTAGGGTGACGTTTTGCACTGGGGATTACATCCGCCCCGGAATGCGCCTTCCGTTTGATATTCAAAATGGGAAGAATGTGCGGGTGTCTTTTTTGAGGATACCTGTTCTTGGTGGTCTTAATTGGAAACCACGTCCAAAGGAAAACCACCAATTTGGGCGGGTAGCCTAAAAAGACACACCCATGTTTCAGTGGTCGTTGTCCTGACTTCTTTCAAACACCCCCCCAAACGGGTACCCTCAAGAACAGAGACTCAAAAAGTGCTCCTAGCAACCCCAAATGGTGCTCCTAGCACCCCCGAAACACACCAGTTCTCCCTAACAGACCTCCAGTTGTGGTCTATCTTCGTCTTTTTCGAGGGGGTTGTATTTGGCTTTATGGCTATTTGGTTGGATCTTTGGACCTGAACTGTTTAGTTGAAACTGTGAATTTTCCACTGGACCCAGAAGTTAGACTTTTGGTTGAAACTGTGGATTCCTCATTGGACCCAGAAGTTAAACTGGAGCCACAAGATCCCACAAGTTGAAAGCAAATTGCAGAGGGGTCAGCAGCAACCGAGTTGGGGGCCGGGGGTGGGCCCAGGGCGTGAGCGGCCAGGTTCGACTGGGCTCTGTGCCTGGAGGTGGCCGAGCACATCCCCGCGGAACTCACCGCCACCTTTCTGGACAACTTGGATCGGCTTCTGGGCACAAGAACCCTCGGGGTTGGTGGCAAAAGTTGTGGGTACTCTTTTCATATACCTTTTTGTGTGAGTTTTAGAGGGACACCAAATCGAACATCACTTGTTTTTCTTCTTTTCTTTTTTTTGGGAGGGGGTCCCTACAAACAGACAGACCAATGTTTGTGTGTGTGTTGTTTTTCACGAGGGAACCATTGCTTGGTGGCTCAAACCCAGCGATGAATCGCCAGCCCATTTCAGCCGAGTTGACCCCATAGCTGGATCAAAGGGGAATCAAAGGGGAATCAAAGGGGAATCAAAGGGGAATCAAAGGGGAATCAAAAGGAATGCCAATATTTTCGGGCCCCCTACTTTGACACACTTCCCAAATAGCTATATTTTCAAAAATAGATTCCCAAATGGATCCCTGGCAAGTGAAAAAATGGACCAATACCTGCGGATTTGTGATGGATTAATTTTGACCCACAAACACACACACACAAATTGGTTTCAACAGCCAGACCTTGGCACCCAAATGGCGGAGCCAAATGCCCAATGCCCTCAAACCAGGGCGTTTTGTTCAATCAAATCTCGCAGCACTCGTACCCCATAGCCGTGTAACAAGGTTTCCGTGAACGATGTCTTAAGCAGAACGAGCTCGTGCACGACATACTCGTAGCATCGAAGGAAATGTTCGCCATGCGTGTAGCATCGGCTCGTAAGAGTGTTGAGCTATGACTACTGTATCTGCACCCGAGACATGTTGACATGTTCTGTTTCTGGCTCCTCGTGCGTAGTTGTTCTGCATTGTACTTTGCTTTTGGGTGCAGGATCCCAGCAAAGGAAACTGCAAGGGACAATTTGGTCATTCCATCTCATTCCCGACCTGATCTGCAAGATGATGACTTCACCCACCAAAAATACAAGCCTTTTTTAATGAGTTCCAACTCATTGCCTATCAAATCGAGGCACACGGACCAGGGCCTCGTCATTACCTGGGCGCGCCCGGGATTGCAGGGCCTCGGCTCTGCCAACCCGCTGGGGGCCTTGAGACGAGCGACGAAGCGCCCATGGAATCAAGCAGCCCTGGGTGTCAGTACGTAGGGTGGTTTGCTATGAGGAGTTTGGAGAGGCATCGTCAGGGCTCATGGATCCCCACTTTCTAAAAAATGGAATTGGGGGAGCGTGACTGGAATTCCCACCGTTTTCCCTTTGCTTTAGGGAAGATTTGTGAAATGGAATTGGGTCCTGGACCCCCCACCCCCCTTCTGCAGAAGGCAGGGAGGATGAATTGGCTGGTTTTTTAGAGGGGCAAGGGCTTCCCTGCGGTTTCCCTAGAGAAACCAACCCCAAGAAAAAGGACCCACCAGAAAAGGCAGAACCAATTACTCAAATTCAAGGGCTTCAATCACGAATCTTTTCAGTTCTTCAAATGAACAACAATTCAGGGATTGAAAACGCGGTACGACGTCACAAGTGGAGGTTCCTGTGGGATGCATCTCTTATGTCACTCAGGCTCTCGCAGGATCAGGCGCTAGCCTTGATCCGGCAACACACCACCTTCACGGAGCTGAACGAGGAGCAACAAGCATCCAATGGCTTTCCATGTATTAGCTGGAAATCCGGCATTCGGCGTATTTTGGCGTTGTTTAAAGGCCAAGTCGTTTGTTGTTTCCCTTGTTGCAGTGGTGAAGATTTTGCTACGGACTCCGGAATTGAAACCATGATTTGCTTGTTGAACCCATTTTAGCTGGGGTGTTTAGGAGACAAACACGAAGGGCACAGAGGTCGGATTTGTTTCTTGGTTGTTTGCTTTTCGGTGCGACCTGGCACAGACGACCCCTTAGAAGACGTTCCTTTTGGACAGGGGGCCTGTGCTTCGGTCTGATGCGATAGATCTCAGACCTCCTGGGAGAAATCACATGAGAACAAACCAGCGCAGTAACTCTTGTGTCGTGTATGCATATATACCTATATATATACACTATTATACGTACATATATACCCCGCCAAAAAACAAACGTATATAGGCTGCTTCTTGTCTTAGCTGTTCCAACACACGTATGTACAGTAGCCAAGACAACTGCAGCAAAAACGATGCACATGGCAGTTACTGGGCACATCATGGCGACCTCACTGAGGGTATTGCTTTGTGATCTCTAGCCCACGAACTTTCTTGTTTGGGGTGCAGCCCAAAGAAGTACCGCGTCAAAAGATGCACCACCTAAGATTGTCCGTGCGTGTGTGTGCTTGTGTTTGTGTTTTCTTAGGCGAAAGACAGCATTCTCTCAAGGCAGGATGGTGTACTTGCCACTGGCAGACCTCACATTGGTTTTAGCGGGAAACCAAAAGGAACCCAACATGTTTTTGGGTTCATACATGACACAAACTGCCCACAACTGAGCTTTTCTCCTGTTTTCCGATGCCCAAAGGTTGCTCCAAGCTTACGTGTTCACAAAAAGGTCTGTCCTTGTCTTGGGGGTTCCTCTTCTTTGGCTTCTAAGGGAAACCCACAACAAACATTGTCATTTTGACGGGTCCCCTAAAAAGACTGGACTTTCTTTTGGTACGGAAGGGTCATCCAAAAGCCGTTGCCAGCAGGCACTACTGCCGGGCAGAAATTGGACCTCTTTTGCTTGGCTTGGTTCTATTTGCATCTGCAGACGTTTCCGTTGAAAGCCACGCCCAAAAAGGATACCACCTCCAAAAAAAGACAAAGAGAACCAACCTAAGGCTCCTACGGGGAATCCACAGGGAAAATAGGCACTAGCTCAAAAAGAAGGAACCAGAAACATTTTTGGGTAGAACCAACCAGGAGCTCACAGCAGCGCTGCGTGCTTCCTGCTCCATTCCGCACCTAGCTGACACGTGGCTTGGCAGCCCTTTGACTTCCAAGGGGTTTCTTGGGGTCGTAAAGGTCATAGTGTGGAAGGACGAAGTCCATTTCGCACCACCTAAGAAACCCCTGGAATGAGTTGATTCCCCTGTAATACCAAGAAGCAATGGTTTCCCATGGCTCTTAGGTGGTGCGAAATGGATTTCGTCCATCCACAGTAGGTCACTCGCAGCTTTTCCTCTTCACGTGCAAATGATCGAAGCCTTTGAGGGGAGGGGTCAACTCACGATGGTACCTGAACCACAGAGCCGGTGACCCTCTGACCTAAGCCTTAGTGTATTGTTCACCGGCCGAGTTCTTGGGGAAATGTAACAAAGGACCCCGGTAAAGTCCCATGGTGTGGTTGGTTTGCTTGCAGGGCAATCACGGTGACCTTCCCACGGCCCTCGGGCTTGCGGGAGACCCCTTTCTCAATGGGCAGAAGAGTCATAGCGACCACCCACTTCAGCTTAGGAAGGGTTATTTGAGGATTTTTTTAAGGATGCATAACCCATCCCACCAGTGGTCTTGTTGTGGAGACTTGGAGACTGGACCTTTGGACTTTGAGTTAAGCAGCAACCCAAAGGAAATAGCTTTTGGCATTTTCTCTCTTTGGCAACCATTTTGGTGGCACCAGAGGGGAAATAAACGTGGACGATCTGGGGCGATGCGGGACCCCCAGAACGCCGGAACCAATTATTCTTGGGGTCCGACAAGGAAACGAACCAACAGCACCGGCCATTTGCAGATGTTTCGCCCCTCAACAGTTTCTTTCTGAGAAGTGGGGCAAACTAAGGCCTTTCACGGGGTTGTTTCCAACCATCGTTCTTTTCGACAACCGGCCGTTTTCCCCGGGTTTCTGGAGGTAAGAAGGATCCCTGGAACGAATGGGGGAGGTACCCCTAGACTTCTGCCAAATCACATGGCTGGCCTTGGCTGGCCTTTCAGGAACACAGCTGGGTATACACGGCCTTTGCCGATCAGGGATCACCCTTCTCGAAAGCGCCGAGTTGTCTCTTGTATTTGAGCAACGGGCAAATATGTCTTGGTCGCGTTGTTGTCAAAGACCATATCAGTGTGTCTTGAAACAGGAACACCAGCCAAAAAGGGGTACCAACTCAAACCAAAAAAAACGCCACCCATATTGGTTCTTGTGCTCCCAGCGAGTGCTGCCGAAAAGGGTAGGTTTTAAGGTAACTTGGGGCTTCTTCCTTTGCCACCTCACCGAAGCAACTCAACCCCCAAGTTCGAGGTTGAACCATCCAAACTCCAAAAGAGAAGCCGAGAGAGAGGACAAAAGCAGACAAAGGAGAAAGAAATGACAGGATATGTACTCACTTGCCCACAGCCGACCTTTCAACCTGTTGGCTCCCCCGTTTTGTCCATTTTGAGTCATGGCCCCAAAAGGTGATCATCTTTTATTTGTGAGTCCTTTGGGCAGCTGTATCTTTGTTTTGAGGGCGCCCTTTTTGTGGTTTAGAGGGAAGCCAAACGGACGACAGGGTTTTTTTGTTAGTTCCCCTTTGAATCAGACCCATATCTATGGTTGCGAAATGTCCAAGGGAACGCCTTGGCTCAAGGCCCTAAAACGCGAGCGCTGAGAGAAACCTTCCGAGGCTCCTGGTCATGACACGCCCGGCGGGGTGCCACGGATCCGCGCAACCATGTCCAAAAGCGCGTGTCTTTGAGAACGAAAAGGCCCCCAAAACCAAAAGGGGGGGGTGTACCTGTTCATTTTTTCCGGTTTTGGGCCATTCGTCAAAGGGTCAAGCAAATATATTTCCAGTTCACCAATTTGGGCAAGTGAGCAAGCGTATTGTCAGGACGATTTCGGCGCGTTGGGATTCCAGTAGGTCTGCGTCCACCAACTTGTCATTTGCTGTATGCAATGCAATCTGTAGTGTGTGTGTGTGTGCGCGCAGCTGTTGCTGCATGTTTGGTGGCGCTTCTTGCTGCCGGCAGCTTGGAATATGTTTGTAATGTTGTTGTGCGGATAGAAACTAAGGTAGGTACTTTTTGTGAGTACAGCATGCACTTGATGTATCCTTTCAGTGTGAAAGCTGGGTTGTGCTTTCGTGGTGGTGTTCCACGGAGTGCGGGTCAGGATTGGGGATCCCCGTTCTGAGGGCCAGCCAGCGGCAGCTGCGTCCAGAACTCAGGGACCCGTCCGTCGGGAAGCAAAGCAGTCAGCCCAAAGCGAAAGTGTCGTGCCCGAGTTGGGAGCGAGCGGAAAGTGTTGGAGTTTTAATTGCAAGGTGTGCCAAGTTTGGCTTATCTAGCTGGTGGTTGGAAGGGAGCCGTTTTGGAGCTGGGGTATCCACCTAAAGGGGGAGCCTTTCGCAGCTACCAGTTCTGTACGGACATGGTAAGTTGTTGCTTTGCAGAGTACCCGGATTCCATGGAAGCCCGCACGGTGCAACAAGATTCATCGCCGTTTGGACCTTCGGACGGAGACATATGGTGTTTTTTTTGTTTCCCCCCCCCGTTTTTGTAGTTGTTGTTTTTGTTTTGATATGATACCCCTTTGTGTTTGATTGTTTTAGGGGAAACAAGCAGGCAAACCGTTGCGCCATTTTGGGTCCCGGTCAGTTTCCTTTAAGCAAGAACGACGAGCCACCCATCTGGCGGCACGTCAGGGCTGCTCCGGAGGACACCAAAGCGGCGTGCAACGCCGAGCAAGGCGCTCTTTTTTTGGGGGTCCCCCCAAAAAAGGACACACCCAAAAGGTCTGTCTGTTAAGTGACCTCCCAATGGCTGACTTTTTGCCCAGGGAATATTGATTAACCTCCAGAATATGTTTCGTGCTATGAGCGACGGCCATTAGGGTATTGTTTGGAGAACCCCTCTCAGTTTTTCAGGTCTGTCGTCGGTTTTGGGTCCCCTATCTGTTTCATTCCTTGGTATCCCTTTTGGGAGGTGGCTTAATTTGGTTTTGCATTTGCAGTACACCATATCCCTTGTCCAAATATGTTTTGTCACTTATAGTACACACCCCTGCCGGACAGATGAGACGGAATGGTTGAAGTGTGGTGCCCACATGGAAGACTAGTTATATGCTGTCGCTGGCAGCTTTTTTGGCATGCTCGTGGTATTGCGGCGACTTTTTTCAGGCATTTTCCACACTAGATGCGCGCACTTGCCTCTTTTGGGAGGAGGATCAACTGTTTTGATTCTTGCTTAAGATAACAATCTCCATAGTTAGAGATGCTTGAATTAGTGGCGCAGAAGCCCCACGAAGTGAACCAAGTTACATCCCTAGACCGATCCAAGATAAGATGGCTACCACCACGTCCAAGCCACTATGTATCCCCGGACAAGTTTGGAGCGTAACACGATATAGCTAGTACACCATACTTCACCCTGGCAGTTCTGCGAGTTTCTGAAATTCGATCTGAACCATCTAGCAAAACCAGTGCAGTTTTCCGGTCGCAGGCTGGATCTATGCGGGGAACGATGTGCAGATGTTCAACGCAGTAAAGTCCGCGTCAGCATGTTGCGAGTTGTGCAATAGCAACTGGGATGCAGTGGTTCTGTGAGTGACGCTATGAACATGCATTCAAAGGTTGATCCCCAATTCATGGTTGTCCCCTTTTAAAATCGTTGACACTGCTCGGGTTCTTAGCCATGTCTTGAAAGTCATCCCTGGAAAGAATGGGGGGGGTGGGGGGCGGGTAAGCACAGCTATGCAATGTGATTTCTGACTTTTGTTGTTTTAAATGCTGCTTCCTAGAGTTGCAGACACTCCAATCAAGTAGCCTCGCTATCTATTGAAAGTGTTTGTTTGTGTTTACTGGCAAATCATGGCGGATCAGAAGATGACTATTCCTACACGGTGCGGGAGATAGGCACGGATTCTTCCTAGCATGAGAAGGTAGCAGATGCATTGACCGGGTAAAACCGGCTGGATTTCCGTCCTTTAGTATACCCATGTTGGCTTGTTTCAGCCGGAGTCCAAAGCGATACCACCCGTTTTTGGGTCTCTCTATTTGGCTGGCTGGCTGGCTGGTTGGTTGGCTAATTGGTAAAGTCAACCTAGTTCAGCAAATGTGGGTAACCTATGAAATGGCCGACACTCACCAAATATCCGGTGTACAATTGAGGGCCAATGTCGGGCAGCAATGTGCGCATGGTGAAGGATTGCAGAGAAGTTTTGAGTTAGAAAGGCAACACGAGGGAATACAGCGATAGTGTTATTTGTCCCCGTGGCAAAGACGGAACAAGTCAAACAAGCCTATGTCAATACTAAACCAATTCTGGACCCGCACAAGGCAGCAAGGCAGACATTTGGAAGCTTGGAAGTAGGCGCTTTTGACCAATTTTAGGACTCAGAAAGGGGGAGCTCACTCAAAGGAGCACGGAAGAGTCCCGTAGACTACTTGTGCAGTCCTGACTCTGACTCTGAGCACCAGTTTGAGCCAGTTTGTTTCCTATATTTTGCCCTATCGCCTGCAAGAGGGAGGTGTTATATGCACCATGGCTGATCTTGCACCGGCACTGGAAAGTCTTGTTTAGGGCATGTCAAATGGGGTTACAAAATGGGTACTGCTTTCGGCTGAAAAAATGAATCCACACTTCCTGAGTTTAATTTCGAACTCTAGCCACTTTTTGGGTTTGGACCATTCTAGTGGTAGATATAAAATGTTCGCGTTTCTCGGGCCATCCACTCGATCGGAAGTGAGCCACTGAAGCCTTGATTTTGGGGTCATGGGCTTTTCGTCCGCGGACACCTGATGAACTTTGGGCGATGCTGAGGCAACGAGAACTGCCGATTCTGGACTTGGAGCAGGGAGGAGAGCCACAAGGAGAGGGAGAGATTGTGATTTGGACCTAGTGGGTCCTTGAAATGGGCTTTGAAAGGGACAACTACTGCAAGTAAGCTTGCCGGTCGGGGGTGGTTCCACCCACGGGCACATTTCGGGGGTTTCAAAAGGACAACCTCCAAAGAGGGACACCCAGGAATTCCATGTTTCCTTGGAAACACCCTCAGCCACAAAAGTTGTGGGTTATTGGTGCTGTTGCGGGTTGGGTTTGGGGTTGGCTTGTTGCATGTCCAATATGGCTCAGCCTGAGGCGTCTTTTGGTGTTTGTCTTTGGCAAAGTCGTAAGCACCAGTGTGACACAGTGCCTCAGTCAAAGCTGGCTCAAGGAAGTCAGGACCGGGCTGAGGTCTTGGGTTTTCTGGGTCTGACAGGGAATGATCCTACGGGAAGCCCCCCCTCTCGTTTCGTCGTTCCCTGAGGGCAAAAGCACTTGTTTGCAGTTGTTGGTTATAATATGTTCGGGTTTGATCAGAAGTCAGATTGCGTCGAATTGGAAGTTTGGCGCCTGGTGTGTACAT